AGCAAAACCTCCTACACGAACTGAAATTGAGAAATCCACAATTGAAAATCCGAATGAGTACAATTAACATCAATTGGTTTTACAATTGGATTTACGAATGACACAATTGGAGTACAATTGTGTCATTTTACTAATGACACAATTGGAGTACAATTAGTTTTACGAATGACACAATTAACATCATCGCTAAGCTGTCAACTCTAAGTTCTCCGTTACGCCCACTGTTAGTAACAAATTCAGTCTACCAATGGAATGACGATCATACGAAAGCCTTCGAAGAAATAAAGAAGCAGATTGTAAATATTACAGAGAACAACCATTTTGACATAAAAAGGTCATCAAGACTAAAAACAGACGCTTCACACAATGGTCTGGGAGCCACATTGGAGCAATGGGACGGAAAAAATGGTTAATCATAGCATTCGCTTCCCGATTTTTAAATAGTCATGAAATGAAGTACTCGACGAATGAATTGGAACTTTTGGGAATGGTCTGGGCTACTGAGCATTTTAAAAATTACTTGTACGGCGCTGAGTTTGAGGTCGTAACGGACCACAAGGCGTTGTTATCGGCTTTAAACACAAATCATAGTAATAAAACTATGCACAGCAGACTGACCCCTTGGTTAAATCGACTTTTACCAATTAACTTCAAGATCAGGCACATCCCAGGAAAAGAAATGGGAATCACAGCTTTATTGTCGAGATTACCCTAAGGAAAACCTCTCGCAACCTCGCAATATGATAACGATTTTGTAGTGCCAACAGTGGAAAAAGTTGTAGAAAACATTTATGTAAATAGTGATTGTAAAACGAATAATTGTTTAAGGAACAAATTGTACAATCCAGTGGAAGTATATAGTGTTACTTACTCGGATTATAACAATCCAATGGGCGGAAAGAGAGAATTAGCTTTACTCATCCAACGGTCGTTCTTCGCGAACATTCATAATTACGTCACTGACACAATTCAAAATTGTATTTCTAATCACTCGCGTTCAGAGTCTTGCACCCGCAGTTGTACTCCACTGAACCTTTCCAAACTCAATTTTAATTTTTTCCATCTTTCCGACAAAACTTACTTTTTCTTCTTACTTCTTACCACATTCGTAATTATCAATTGACCCGTTCACAAATCAATAGAACAAAAACTCAATTACAGAATTCCTCTCTACAGTGGAATGTTGAACAATTTTACCTTCCGGCAGAAACAAAAGGAATTATTCTAAATTTTGATAACGAAATACATAAAAATACACAAAAAATTACTTGCCAAACATAAAAGAGACCTTAAATTACCAGCCACGCCACTAGCTTTTAGAAAACATTGTTCGAACAATTTAATCAAACTAATGACAGAAGAGGACAAAATACTCATTGACGTGAAGAAGGCAGCAGAAGAGGGCAGACCATTGGACAGATTTGGAGCGTACCTGAAGACCTTTCAAGGAGACGTTCACGTAAAGGAAGGATTTTTATTTAATTATAACAAGCTTATAGTGCCAGCAGCTCTAAGAACACAATTCATGTCGCTACTTCACGAAACCCGCCCGGAACAGTTTGTTGGCCGCACTTATAAAAATAGATTTATTACCACGCGAAAAACTGCATCCAGTGTATAAAGGCAGGTAAGAATATAAAAGTGATTTTGGGCACAAACGAAACTGAGTAATTATTGACCCTTTTAGAACCAAACGAAGATTTAGACCTAGACTTTGCAGATCCATTGGACAAAAACTAGGGTAATTCAAAACATTTGTTGCTATGTATTGATCGCTTCTCAAAATTTCCGTCAGCCAAGACAGTGAACAACACTTCAAATTCTTCAATTTTATCTTTTATGTCGGATTACTGTCATTTACATGGATACCCGAAGTCTATCAGAGCCCACCATGAGTTACGTTTTACTTCGTTCGATTTTAGAAACTTCTACGAGAAGAACAGCATTAATCTAATTTTATGTACAATCGGGGATCGCAGTTCCCATGGGGTCGTAAAACGTCTCATTTACACAATTAAAGCAATACACTTGGCAATGTCGTTCAACGAACCTAAGCCAACACAAAACGCGGCAATCGATAAAAGCATTTGGAGTATCCGTTCAACGAAACAAACATCCATTGGATGTTGTTCTTTTTCTAAGCATTTTATTAGATCGCCGACTACATTTTGGAAATCACTGGTCTCACACGCCAATAATTTACATAAAGGGAAGTCAATAATTTCAAGGGATAGAGCCCAGGACTGGGGAATAAACGACACTATTGAGGACAGTTATTTGGAAAATGAAAGTGCAGACGAGGGGAAACGAGAGCGACCCGACCAACAAGACAGACAAAGATCTGCAAAGAGCACCGCTATCCAATCCATTCAGCCAAGGAGGTAATTGGCTTAGGAAGACGGTTAACAGAAGGGAAGGCGAACCGTACTTTAAACCTCCTGGTGGAAAACCGTTATTGGGTACTACACATACGGTTACAATCGACAAGCGGCATAACTCAGAAAATTGGATCTAGCGTTTCAAAAAATCCAACCATTGGCTCCTAGTAAATTCCCTTCAGTTCCTAATTGGATAGTTAATATTCATGATTTAGCAGGAAAACGAAAGAGAAGTTCCCCATCGAAGAGGAGGGACTCGAATGAAACTGGCCCATCGACAAGACAGACACAATCGGGAGCAAAGGCCACAAAAAGGAGAAGAACAAAAGTACCAAGCCTCAAAGTTTCAAAATTCACTTATTCGGAGCTAGATTCTTTGTTAGACTTAGACCATTGGGACAATGTTATAGACGACTATTTGGTTAACGACTCGGAAATTGTATGAAACACTCCAACTTTTTTTTAGCGATTGTGCTTTAGATCTGTCAGGACGAACACTAGCAAGTAGAACTACTACACAGTCCACCAGCACACCACCAGCGGGCACAAGCGACAGCCTCGTAAGGATTGAGAGCTCACCACAAAAGAATACAGGGGTCCCACTAGTAAAACCCCCGAAGAGCAGTAAACCACGTCCCAGAAGAAACCCTGGCCCCCCCAAAACTTTACGGAGAAAGGCGATTCATCCTGCAGGTGTCACCAAGAGTGGCGATCACGGAAATTGTAGATTCAGACGAGGAACCCCTGATAACCTTCTCAGGATATGAAAACTTTCAGACAACATTTTCTTCAGGTTCCTCTTCGGACTATTTAACCCCACTAGAGGACATTCTTCCCCAACCAACATTGGTGGCCGAAACCACTCAAGGATCTACCTCAACTCCATCCTCTGTAACACCGAAGATCGCAGTTCTATTATCACCATTGGTAGAAACAGCACTTGATATTCAAGACGATGGAGGGAGCGACATATCTTCAGTTATAGAAACAGAAGTGAGGAGGAGGGGGACAGCTTCAACGACACATTTTTACCACCATTTAAAAAAGTAAAACTCTCGTATTTAGTTAAATTCGATAGAATTGATTTTACTTTATTTACCAATTCCTAGTTTTAGGGATTTTGTACGTTAGTTCGTGGATGAACACATTTTAGTTTAGTTACCTATGTAGTTTAGCCTGTGCAATTTGTTTAAACGTCACATAACCCCAATTGTTCATAACATTTCTTCAATTGTATAGTCGTTGTATATATCTGTTTCATCTTCTAGGTAGCCTGTAAATATTACCACATAGTCATCTCCGTGTTAATTTGCATTATCTCTGTAAATTCCGTTGGTGCTAAACGCTGATACTTTTTGTTTCAACTTTGGCCCTCGTGGAGTGAGGGGAGAATGGAGTATATGTGTGATATTGGCTACACAGGGAAGGTGCAGATATAAAAATTTTCGTGCAGTGGGGAAAGTTGTGATTTAGTACTTTAGTTATGTTTTAACCTTGACCTCTATGTGATAATTACGTACAAGTCAATGTTTACTTTTCGAAGTCCAGTGGATTCGCGTCACTATTTGTTCTTTTAAGACATCGATCAGTTTTAATTCAAAACTTTATTTTAGTCTTTTTAACCTAGATTAGTTAGATTAAATTACCAGTGGTATTTGCAAACTTTTATTAAACAACTTAAAGCCAAAATAAATATTGCGATTATTAATGTTTAAATAAATGTTTGCCAAAACGTTACCATTTTTTTCGTATTTTTTGTTCTCCCACTGAAAAATGATAGAAACAAACGTTTATCTCTTGCGGTTTAGCAGCGAACTGATTTTAAGTTTTTTTTCTAGAAATTGTATACTTTTACTATTAGATGAGAAAAAAATAGTTTCTTTGCAGGAAAGTTTACAGGAAAATTATGTCAGAAAATTATGTTAGGCTCTTTACAGAAAATTTCTACTCAGAGAAGAAGCATTTGTTGTTGGGTACGGGTACCAAAAATGAAATATTTAGAATACTAGCGATTATTTTAATATTTGATATTAGCACATCCGAAGGACTGAAAATTATTATATTACTGAACAGGGACGGATCTAGGATTTTCTCGAGGGGAGAGGGGGCGGATTTTCAAAAAATTTTCAAAAAATATTGTCGACCTATTTTTTAGGTCGACCAAACTGATTTTCCGAGCTGTCCCAAAGCACTAATAAAAAACCCTTTTTGGTAAAATTTCTGTGCAGCAGACAAAATTTTCAAAAATACAGGCCAAAATAGGCTTTTTTTTTGCTTTTTTTGGAAAATTTTGACCAACAAAATCGCATTTTTCGGCGCGCGCTCCTTCCTCGAAACTAGTATATACTGGCGCCAAGGACACCTTTAGAAAATTTTTAGGTTCCGTCGCAAAAATGGATTTCTAAAAATAGTACAAAGGTGGCACCCTTTGGGTCGTCAAGGTGTCGAATTCCTGAGGGGAGGCAGGCGCTCCCCTTCCCCTAAATCCGCGCCTGTTACTGAATATTACTGAACAAAATAATCAAATTTCCGTCCTCTCTGACTGCTCACTCGATAATTAGGGTGTTGTGGTTTTGCTCTAAAAAGTGAAAACTAAAAAATGGCGATGCAAAAAGTTCTTACCGCAAAATAAACTCGCAGCTAAAATCGAAAGAGCCTTCATCGGATGATTATGAACAGCTCAAAATAGGATTCGACTGAATTTGTTTGAATAAAAATCAATAAGACTACTACTGGGAGTTGTTTACTTGTATTTAACCTCCTGGACTGTGCAAGGTTGAACTCTGACTTGACAGCTAGATTATCTGACTTGACATTGATCAACCAGTCAGCTGAACTTAAAATATAAACACACTGGAAAACAAATACGAAAGTTATAACAAAAACTCTTGGCGACTTTGAAACTTCGCGGGAATCATTTTGAGACAAGTAGTAGTTGTTTGAAAACCGGTAACCCATGTGGATTGAGTAAGGAACGGGTAGGAGCAAAGAATAAAAAAAAGTGACTCATTAACTATTGATATTTTTAACCATAGACATAAAATTGAAGCATGTTTAAACACGGATGTTTAAACAAGGCATGTTTAAACAAGGATAGTTGGTTACTGTGCAAGTAGCACATAATGTTCGGGGCCATATTTAAAAAAAATACAATTTTTTTTTCGGATTGGGTAGTTTTTTGTTTTTGGTAGGGCGAGATAATCTAATTGAAAGCTTGGAAGTTAAAAGAAGAAAAATTGGGTACATATGAGAAGACATAAATAAAATAAATTAAAATTTAAACGTTAAAAAAATTTAAAAATTTTTTTCCAAACTTTCATATTTTTTTTGCAGATTTTTTTTTGATTCGTTCATAAACTTTTATTCCCGAGAAGGCGGTTAAAAATTCTGGACAACTATATCCCTTTGAATCAAACTAAATAAAAGTTAGTTTTGAAAACAATTTAATTTAACTATTATAAGCCTATTATTCGTTCAAAATTAGGCAAAAATACAAAAAATCAAACCGGTTTTTTCTCGACAGTCGTGGAAATTTTTTTGGAATTTTTTAAATTTGGTTTCAAACACGACTGAAAGAACTTTAGAATGATATATCACTCTACCCATTCTGATGATGATTTGTGGTACTTGATTTTTCGTAGAAAACAAAAAAAAGAAAAAAAGAAGAAAAAACTAAAACACATCGAAGTTCCAACCAATTTCCATTGGTCGGAACAAAAATATTCATCGTTCGAATGGTAACTAGTGATTTTTCGAAAATGAGTTGAATTGAAATTTTGCTGTTTGCTCCTAACCCTTTGCTGCTCACCCCTGGGTTACCGGTGTCCAAACAACTACTACTGTCAGTGGCTGATCTATGGTTTTCTTGAGGGGAGGGGGTTTCAGTTTTTAAAAAACTTTCAAAAAAAAACATGTCGAAAAAGGCTCAATATTAGGATCTTTTTGGACAATTTAGACAAAAAACCGCGTTTTTTTTTGGAGCGCTTCCCACTCAAAAACAGTCTACATTGGCACCTTAAGAACATTTTTAGGGTCAGCCAGCCAAAAATGAGGATCTTAAAATAGTGCCAAAGGTTCGTCAGGATACTCATGTTAGTCAGGGGTATCGAAGATAACGTTCAAGGTAAAAAAAACTTACTCTCAATTAGTTAATTCACGGAATGCTACTATCTTTTCATTCTCTTTCAAATATGCTATTTGACGTTATAGGCACAGTCAAGTTCACCCTCACAATGAGAATTTTTTTGTATAAACCTCATCAAAACTAGACAACTAAATTCCGCGAGGGAGTAATTTTTTGTCACTTGTTCAGTTTGTGGAAATTCGGGAGATGGGTGCGATACATAACTCCAGTTTCAGTTCTGATCAAGATAAAGTGGCACTATACAGCATCTTATTCAATTATTGAAAATGACTGCAGAATCTCTGAAGCAGAACTGATTTGCGCTGCCGTATTAACCATAGAAACAACATGCTCAAAAGGAGGGAGTGAAATTGTAGGGCGTTAAGTTGTTTAGAGTTAAAAAGGGGGGAACCGCTCAAAGGAACTGCCTTAATAATTAAATTTTTCTAATTAAATTGAGTTGAAATGAAATTTTTTGTTGAAAAATGTTAACTTATTTATTTGTTTTTTTTAGTCAACCAGCCCGGCAGCCTAACCCCAAAGTTAATTATTTAGATTGACAAGAGTGTATATAGCCAGCACCAATTAAGCTATGACTTACTTGCAAGAGCTCACCTTGCAAATTGCAGCGCACGTGCAATTTGATCCAGCAATCATATGATTGCTGGGCGCCATTACTACCGGAGCGCCACAACGCCATAATTTAAGCCTGGCTGCTTCGATTTAATTGCAAAAAAATAGTTAGCTAACACGACGAGGGTTTTCGTCAAATTGATTAGACAAAAGTGCTTTTCTCCAAACGTTCGATTTTTGTTTAATTCAATATCAATTGCGAATAAAACTTTTCAACGCTTTACTCTTTCTTAGAAAGACCCTTTCCTCCATATTTTTGTTTTGCAAAAGTTGGTTTGTTTTGCAAAATTATGTGCAAAAGTTGCTTTGAATATTGAATGGAAACTTTCCAGCATTCAAAAAACAGACAAGATGTGTACTTGCCTCTTAAAAATTTTATTATGTGTACATTGCTACCTTTAACAATCATTCTTGTTAATACCATGCCATTGTGTTCAGATCAGTAAAATTTTTTAATGAGTTTCAACATTAGTTTCTGACTTGTCTACAAAGGAGGTTTTGATTATAGATAAAATTGAGTCTCCATTTGTTCAATTTCAGATAAAAATGAGCTATTTCTATTTGTTCCCTTGGCTTGCTTCTTCCCCCACTGTTTTATCTATGACGCATCAGTGTTTGATTAGCCGAATGACTATCGTATCTGCTCGTTGGGTGAATATGGTATAATCATACCTTTCGTCCAATTCTACGGCCAAACACCCCGGGTTGACCAAAAATGCTAGTCATACAATTTCCATATATGGAAAAATGCTAGTCACACACTTTCCATGCAATTCCATACGTACAGAAAATTGCATGAAAGGTCTATGATTAGTATTTTTTCATATATGGAAATTGTATGACTAGCATTTTTTCATATATGGAAAGTGTATGACTAGCATTTTTTCATATATGGAAATTGAAAATTTAGAAATTTTTCATATATGAAAATTTTATGACTAGCATTTTTTAACAATTAGAAATCCAGCAAAATGAGGCAAAAAAAACTACTTTAATTCCCATCCCATACGACGAGCAGTCTCTGAACAGAGAAGAAAAATCCAGAGAAAATTTGTTTTCTCATAGTCAATTCTCCTCACACACTGAGAAAGCAGAGCATTTCTTAATCTTATCTTAGGGGGACTCCAAACCAGGAGGGACTGCCTCAGAAAAATTAAGAAAAAAAACCTGTTAGCTAGCTGAGTAATCCAAAACAAAAAACAGTCCACCAGAGGCATCAATATTCTGGAATTCTTCTCTTCCAATCACATCTGACATCAACATCTAAAACAGTTCCCTATAAAACAAAAATTCAATTGACACTCAGGTTGAAAAATTGAAACAAACATTTAAACATCAACAAACATTCAAACATCATAAAAATTCTAAATTATTCCCACTTGAAATTTTTCAACTTTTGAGATCACTTTTGGAATCATGTATGAGAAGATGCAGTCAGAAGTCGAACAAGCTATGGCACACAGAAACACCAAATTGTACCGATTTACAAGGTAAAAACTGTGCAAAAACGTGTTTCTGGGTGCCATCGATTGGTTTACTTTCGAGTAGGTCTTCTCAGATACGAATCCTCTGATGACCTTCAAAACTACTTTTGACCAATGCAAAGCGAGTTAGTAAAAAACACAAAGGCGAAGCAGAGCTCCGCCAAACTCGAGATACAACAACGGCGACTACATACCCATTGTTTTGATTGACTAGTTTGCTGTGTAGGCGATTTTTGTAGTGTCCCGTCTTTCAACACTTCCAACAAAAACTTTCCATTCCTTGCCTTTGTCAAGCAATCAGTAATCGTCATCTGCTTAGGAAAAGAAAAGAATTTACACTCCTCAAAATGATGAGCGACTTTACCATCTTGGAAGTTTCCCATCCTTGTTGAATTTCAGCTCATTCACTCTGACCTTTACCGATTTGTTGTCTGTGAACACAGTGAATCTATCAAATTTATATCTGAGCCCAACATCTAAGTTGATGGTGTTAGAGTACACACATTTTTCACTCGTTACTCTCGTCACATATGACTCTACTTAAAATATGTTTTTGGGTAACCACCCGGTTGTCATCGACTGCCAATGGATTATTACCACCTTGTCAGTATTTTTTATCACGAACAATGCCCACTTGTCCTAGCGTTGATCTGTGTTTTTATGCTGGCATTGCCATAAAAATTCAGTTGCAAAGCCCCAACTACTTAACTGAGTTTCATCGACTGTACCAACCGCCGTTAAAATAACCTGAATAGGTTATTCAATAGGCTCAGTAGGTTGTTGAGTTTCTATGACAAGTCTGAGTGGATAATAGAGGTCAACTTGCCATTTAGCTGTTGTCCCTTCTCCTTTTACCGTCTTAATGTCGGCCACAGGCTAATTCCCAAGTTCCTGCAGTAGCATGAAGTATCGCAGAACTTGTCTGACTTCAAAATTTTTTTAAAAGCTGTCGATGCTTAATTCACAAAAAATTGAAATTCTGTCGTTTTGTGTTTCCTAACTTGAGCCTTTCTAGTATCGTCTGCTTTCGATTTTCAATTTTGAAGTTCCCTTGAAGAAAATATTGTTCAAATGGACTATGAGCAACACAATACAGTAACTGTTTCTGATTTCAGAATAAAAGAGGCAATGCTGCGTCACGCATTCAAAACTTTGCTGCACATATAATCGGCTTGTTAAAGTCTGATTCCCTTCATGTACCGCATTGTTCAGTCCGTAGGCAGCAATGAGCAGTTTCCAGCGATGAGTTTTCGGTATTTGAGCCTTCGCAGGTGGCCGTAGATAAACGTCCTCTTTGATTTGTCGCGGTTGAAAAAATACCTTTTTGATATCTATCAGTTTCAGTTCGATTTAAATATTCACAACACAAAACAGAGCACGCAGGCGCAAACTTTTAAACACTAAAATGTATTCATCCTCGATTCTTCTAACTGCTAAGTGGAATTTAGATTCTCTTGATCCGTCAGTTCCTTTTTTCCACGTTTTTATCTATCTGTTCCTGAAGATCCGTCTGTACAAACTGCCCGCGACATAATT